TTTTCTATTAAATATATTTTAATATCTTGTCCCGCCACATACGCCAACAGCTTTTCATCACTAGATACTGCAAATGCTCCAGGTTTCTCACGATCCAAAATTGATAAAACAAATTTAAACCTTTTAAAAACATTTATTAATTGATTGGTTTTTAAATTATAAAGTTCTATATTTTTGTTTGGATCTCTTCCAGATGTATCAACTAATAAGTAAGAACCATTTAAACATCTTAAAAAATATCTGCGTATTGTATCACTTCGTGGTACAGTTAAATATTTACTAATGTAATCACTGTAATTATACTTTAAAGCATCTTCTATTCTTTCAGGAAAATCAAACATTTTAACATCATCTTGAAGTTCATCGGAAGCTGATGAATACGATAAACGATGCTTATATATTCCCAATCCTTTGAACAAAATTAGCATGAATTCATTATTAGCTTCATCATCGACATCATCATCGTCTTCATGATTAGCTTCATTATCGGCCTCATCATCGGCTTTATCATCAGCTTTATCATCAACTTTAGGAAGAAACTGGATTATTCCACCATGTTCTATTTCTATGTCACACTTCGTAACTTTAAAGTCGTCATCAATTTTCCAAATTTTTGTAAAGCCGCATTTACCTGCTACATCCTCATATGGCAAATTTTGCATATCATCATCACTTATGCACGATATAGCGATTAATCTATATTTTTTTTCTTTATTTTCATTTGTTATAGAGATAGACCAATTCGAAAAACGACTCGATCTCATCAATATTATTTGTTGCTCTTGTATTTCATTTTCTTCATCAGTAAAAAATGTTAATGATTGAGAATGTTCTTTGGAAAGTTCTTTTTTATTTGTATCTTCATTAGTTATAACATTATACATTCGTAATTCAAATTTATCATCATTATTTGCTAAAAAAGATTTGAAATTTATTTAAATTTAAAAATTTAGCAGCATATTAAAAAATCATATTAATTAACTTGAAAACTTACTATCAAGAATAGCTATAAATGATTCATCCAGACTAACACCCGCATATTTTGTAAATAGATCCGATTCTTTTATTAAATTCGGTTTTTCAGTTGACATTGGTATCTCAATATGAGCCATATCTTTTGTAATTGTAAGTCATTCACAATTTACAAATCTGTTAATTATCGATCAATCAATCATTAAAGATGAAAAAAAAATTATGGATTATCATTATTTCTTTTTATTTACGCTTTTTTCAGTTTTTACGTTGGCTTTGCTGGCTAGGTCTTGATAACCTGCACGCGTCATTATTTACAAATTATTTTATGTTTGGTTAAAAATATTTGTATTTTACATATAGTAAATAGTTTTTTTTGTCGTTGTGAACTATGTACTTAATTGATTAAAAAAATCCACATTATTTATTTTCTATTCAACGTTAAAATATTGTATGTAAATTTGAAAATACACTATTTCGTAAGGTACGCTCATCTTTCTAAATTGTATTATGAAAATGTGAGATAGAAGTTTGTTACTATTACTGATTGACGTTATTACATAACCTTGAGGCTGTATAGCACTGCCTCAATTGATACCAAATAATACTATATATATGTATATTTGGTTATAGTTACGTATGTTATTAGTGTTATTAGTGGCTGAGCAAAATGCAAAGCAAATATGAAACAAATACACACATCCAATATCATGACGCTTTTAGACTTTTAATCATTTTTAATAATAAAATCAACAATCATATCGATATATCTCATCACGATTTTTTTGAAAAAAAAGCAATCCTCAAAGATACAATGACTATCTGGGATCCTCATTAAACGGAATTATGCGTCAGTATATACAAGATTATTCCTATTTTGATAGAATTCTAGCATATATGTATAATATATAATCGCAAATATGTAAACTATACGATATAATATACAGTACTTAATGTATAGTAACCTATACAAAATGTATACAGTAACCGATATGTAATTCTATCAACTTCTTTATTTTTTGTCGTTGATTAATTCTGTATCTAGTATTTTTAATGCAAAAGAAAATAAAAGTTTATTGATAAATCTTATGCGAATTTATATATAATACGTAATATAGTACATACGTACCATTGAAACCTATACGACATACATATACGATTAAGTATTATATTTTTTATATTTAACATTTTTGTTAACTTACAGTAGTACTAGATTATGTTATATTTCAATACAGCTAACCAATCACAATTTTTCCAAATCTGATAACTTTCAAAGCTAAATCAAATCTGCTCACCGTTGTCACGATTCAAGGGAAAGACTTAAGATATTTGTTCCAATTTTAACTCTTAGACCTTGATCATTATTATATTGAATATTTTAAAAAATGCTTTTATATTTCTGTATTGGGAGAGCAATTATATTTTAAAAAATGCTTTTATATTTCTGTATTGGGAGAGCAATTATATAATATATTCACTATAAGAATAGGTTCATCTACTCTCTTTACAGGAAGCGATCGTGTTTTAATTGTAGACCTGATCTATATATAATACAGTTTAATATTTTTTAATAATCGCACGAACATCTACATTAACATCTACATGAAAATCACCTGTTGGTAGCAAACTATATAAAAAACCGACGGAAATAAAATTTCCTTTTCGGGGTATTTTCAGAATTTTAGTCATAATTCTAGTTGAGTCACGCAAATTTAGGCATTTAGATTCATTTAAATGGCGCATTTTTATTGATTATTTGTATACTGCGGCATAAAAAAATTTCAGATCTGGCGATTTTTTTTGACCCGGTCGGATATGAAAACCAATTGTTTTTTTTGTCTCGCCTAAGATAAATAATGAATCTGAGATATATAGTATATATGCTTAACGTATTAAAACTATGTTAGTAAGAGTAATAAGGGTATTAAGGGTATTAAGATATATATTAAGTAAGTCGAATAGATTAAGGGAAGTATCGGTTGTCCAATCAACTGGGCTTTGAAAGAATATTAGAATTAAATACCTAGAACATAGTTATTCGAAGATTTAAAGAAATTCTAACAATATACAATAGCTATAATAGTAGAAAATGCGACTATTTCAATTAATTAAAAAGTTTGGTGTGTGATTTCCTTTTTGGATAAAAGGGGCAATATGGAGGCTCAAGATGTAATACAAAAATATAGAACAACAGATCAAAAACATAATAAGTTAAATAAATTTAGAAAATACTAAGTAAATAGACACCAAACAACTAAATGATATTATAATATTATTAATGATTAATGTAAGAACATGTAAAAATGATAAGCCCAAAAAAAACTTAAACTATTATATTATCGATTACATATTTGGTAATTAGGATAAGAAATTAGAAGTCTCGATCAAATTTTGAAAAGAAATTTTTCTCTGGATTCGCATTTTTTACTTGGTTCTTACTTTGTCCACTGTTTTTACTTTGTCCATGGTTTTTACTTTTTTCACTTGATTCACTTTTTTCTCACTTGGTCTACCCTTTTCACTTGATCCATATCCACTATTTTTGCTTTTTCACTTTGTCCACTTTTTTCATTTTTTCCACCTTTTTCAACTGGTCCACTTGTTTCATTTGTTTTATTTCTTCCACCTTTTTCAACTGGTCCACTCGTTTTATTTTTTCCACCGTTTTCAACTGGTCCATTTTTAGGACAACATTTTCCATCTACACAAGACTCTTTATAACCACACTGTAAATATAATAATTTAAAAAAAGTTAGAAAAGAAAATAAATGTTAAAAAAATTAAGCGTTAGGAAATTAGAAAGATAATTGTCCGAAGCGTAGCAAGGAATATTATGTTCTAAGTAAACTAGATGGCTCGGACTAATAAATTTTAATTCACGTGTTACACCGCAATATTTAGTCCGATAGGAGCAGAAAATTCTGGAAACTAATGATAAGTACTATTCTCCCATTAACCATAGCTGCCGCAACAAAATTGTCACGAAGTATTCTCGATTTTGATTGGCTAACGGCCGTGATCTGCAAAATTTGGCCCGCATTACATAATTGTTTAATTTCTGGCCGGAATTAACTTTTTGATTTTTTCATTACAAAAATAGAAAGTTCTGAAAAATAAGCCTGCACTATGGTAAAATTGGCCAAGGAACAATTTTAACTAAATAGGCGGCTGTGATTTCATTAGTAAAATTCCGAGTAATTCCGGCCTAATTTTTTAATCGTCGCTCTTAACAAATCAAAATCAAAAATATGCCGTGATAATCTATTTTTCCTTTTACATTTGACAGTTGGATACTACTTACTAGCTGAATTTTAAATATAAATACTAATGCGAATATATGGAGTTTTGTGGTGATTCTGGTTTGCTTCGGACTTTTATCATATTCTGATTTCCTAGTTTTAACAAAAAGATTGAAAAGAATACATACGGCATGACCACAAGATCCGCAGTTCTGAGAGTCATTATTGGTGTCAACCAGGGACCCGGAATTTATGCGATATGAATTTGTAAATTATGCGTGCGACATAAATAGAACATTCGATTTACTGATGATTAAAAATTAAATGTGCGATTCAATGATGCTTTACTCAATTTTATCTCATAAAAAAAAAAAATTGCAATTTTTTAGTTACTGCGCTCAACTAAGCCAAAAAAATCGATTTTTTAATTACTTCGCTCAACTAAGCCAAAAAAAATCAATTTTTTAAAACTGCACCTAATTTAAATAATGCGTTCAACTAAAAAAAATTGTTTAATTTATTTATTGTTGATCTATTGTAGTTAGCGATATTACTTTAATTGTTCTTATTGTTACCTTGATTGTTATTATTATTTCGAACTATTAAAATACATCATGTTCAACATTTTTAATGAATTTTTACTTAGATTTTGTCTATCGTCAGCCAATATTTCATTATAATTTGAAAAACTACTTTCAATGGAACAAGAAGACACAGGCAACCAAATGTAATCCTCAGCGATTACACTTAATTCAGGTAATAAGTAAGCTGTTTTAGTCCAAAATTCTTGCAAGTCATTAAAATCAATTTGTTCTAAATCTAAATTAACATATATACCCCATTCTTGAATTAGTCCAGTAGATAGATTTGCCAATTCGGGAATAAATTTATAAGATAGAATGTTTCAATTTGCAGTAGTAAGACGAATAAATCGTGGATCAAAAAGTTGAGAATTTTGATAAAGAGAACAAGCAGGATGATTTAAGATATGTGGTTCATATTTTTGATTTGCTTTTACAAATGCGGCTTGAAAAATAGGAATAAAAGCTTCAGGTCTAAAATTAACCGAGATAATCAAAGTGTTTAAATCTGTTCCAAAATTAATCAATTTCATGTTATCGTTTAAGAATTGACCAAGCTGATCTAGTCAGGTTTCTACAAAAGGAAATACAGGTTTGTTTTCTATTTAAAAAAATCTAGAGTTGAAACAAGAATTTGTAAGTTAATAGTAATAAATCGTAAATAGATTCAAACTACACTGTTTAACTGAATAACCCCGAATATAGCAGCAATATCATTAATTGTTGTAGATGAATTTTCAGTTGCTTCTTGTTGATAGAATAAACGAATGTAATCCAGATGCTCATCGACATAAAAGGCCATCCGATACCAAGAATTCCAGCATGTTTCAGATGAAAGTGGAATTTTTTTTGGTGTAGTAATTCCATTACATTGAAGATGATATATATAATGACTATGCCGTGCTTTTGCATATACTAATATTTGTTTAATTTTACTAAGCAACATTTTTACAATATTAAAATAATCTACAGAAATCTAAGCTTCTCCAATCAAGTTCATAATATATGCTAAACAAGGGCTATGTATTAATTGTGGTAAAAGTGGTTTTAAAACTTCACGATAGCACTTTTTCATATATGCTGCGAAATCAGAAGCAATAAAGCAAGGGTACTCAAATAGTATAATCACTGAACTAATGTTTGAATAATTAATTCACCAATTGTTCTATTATTAACTTGATCTAAAAATGCCACTTCTACTAATTTAGTAACGCCATGATAAAAAAAAAGAATATTAAGACACTACGAGCACAAGAATCTGAAGTTTCATCTATAATAATTGATACTTTTTTATTTTTAAACAAATTTTTAAGATCTGTAACACTTTTTTCAAAAACAATTAGTAAGTATTCTCTTTATAGTGTATCTGCAGCTGGTATTGTACCTCCTTCCCGGACGTTTTCTCTAATCCAAGATCGTAGCTTATCAACCTTTTCGAGTGGAATATTTGCTTCTACTAATGCTTCTACAAGTGAAACAACAATACTTTTTCTGGATTCGGCAGCTTGAATTGTTGTTGGAAGTGTTAATTGTCGTGTCAAGTTACTTGTACATTTTGCGGCAGTTTTCTTTATCTTATGACCTTTACTATCAAGGTGTGCAGTTATTACTGAGCGAATAGTGTAATCAATACTGTGATGACAAAATTTACACATAAACTTGTTATTTTCTTTATAAAAATGAGCTCCAAATTCAACTAATCTACTATTTAATGTAATTCTTTTTTGGACCTATACTAAAAAATAATAAAATTTTTTTTAAAAGCAAATTCTATTTATTAATATATGGTTTAAATTTAACATGCTCTATTAATTTACATTTATTTAACATACTAAAAATTAAATTATTTCGTATTTTATCATACTATTACGTAAAAATTAGACAATTTCATTAACATACTACTAAAAATTAGATAAATTCATACTTTAACATACTATTAAAAATCAATTAATTCGCAATTTAACATACTATATTATTAGTTTGTTCGACTCTATTATTAATCAGTTTTTAGACTAGTTATTTATACAGCTGAATCAAGTTGAGAACATTTTTATCAGCACATAAATCTGACATTGAAATAATAAAAAATTATGTGATTTAGTACAATTTAGTTTAATCACACTAAATCACATAATTTCTGTGTCTATGGTGTCAACGCAGGTACTAGTACAAGTTCCACTTACACAATTCTGACCTGTACCACACTGTAAGCATAATAATTTATAATAATTTAAATATTAGTAAAGAAAAAATCAAACTGTAGAAATTTTTTTTAAAAAAAAAAGATCGAAAAGAATACATACAGCATAACTATGAGCTCCACAGTTTTGATTGTCAGTATTAGTATTAGTGCAGGTAGCATTACAATTTATCTAATCATTGGAACAAGTACAAGTTCTGCTTACACAATTCTGACCTGTACCACACTGCAAGCATAATTATTTATAATAATTTAAATATTAGTAAAGAAAAAATCAAACAGTAAAAATTTTTTTTAAAAAAAAAAATCGAAAAGAATACATACAGTGTAACCACAAGTTCTGCAATTTTGATTGTCAGAAGTAGTGTTAGTGCAGATAAGAAAGCTACATGATCTCTAGTAGAGCAGCATAACCCAATTTCAATTATACAATCACTAGCATTATTACACTGCAAATATAAAATCCAAGGTTTGTATAAAATGTAAATTATCTTAGGTGGAAAGATTATAAATACTCACACATTGGTCAACACATCTAAGTCCAGGAGAACAGCATAAATCGTCATTAATACAATCTTGACCATTAGGACACTGCAATATGATTAATTGAAGAATTAGGCTATGCAAAGTTGATTTTTCATTTTGCATTATATGGATTTCAAAATTAGGGATGGACAGATGAATTTTTTTTTTTTTAGATTTTTTTTTTTTTAATTCAATTTACTGCAAATAGAATAATAATCACATTTAAAGTTATATTTGCACAACAAAGAATCATAGGAAATTAAGGGCTCCATCGAGTAATACTGGATGAAAATAGCAGGAAAAATAGATGTCAAAAATCAAACAATTGGCATAATTGGGATCTAAAAAAAAATTTTGAAAAATTGAAAAAATAGGATGGCAGGTAATGCAAAACGAAAAATCAACTTTACGTGGCCTTATAAATAAATGCCAATTATATTAAAAGAATAGGAAAAAGCATAAATACATATGCAGATATCAAAGACACCAAGAAGGCTACATAGAACTCTAGAACTATCGTTGCAGGCTACAGAAGGTTGTTGAAATACAACTCTTTGCATTAATACTAAATAACAAGTGAAAAGAATGAAACTATGAACACAAAAAGACATTGTACAATGACTTAGATAGAAGTTTACCACAAAGAACGCTTAGAAGAACAATGAAAATGTTAAACTGTTTAATGTACATTTGGAATTTAATAATGAGCAAAACAAATAAGCTTAAGGATTTTGAAAAGCAAAATTAAAAAGTAAAAAGGATGAATTTTGGATAAAGAAAGGGGAATTGAAGATAAAGGTATTATTTGAAAAAGTGATTAAAATTGATTATATGATTTAAAGAATGAATCAGACATAATTTAAAGGGGAATTGGTGAAGGGGAGATTGGAGATATATCTTAGAACAATTCTACTGCTTATATAGCTTTCATGCTATGTGTTGTATACACTAGAAACTGTTACTGCATAAGACATAAGTAAAGCTTACATGATAACTAGTTACAGCATAAGTCGTGATAGCTTTACTGCATCTCTAGTAATTACATGTTATTCTTACATTTCTTTATAATATCCAAATGCATACTGTCTAAATTCATATAATGTTAAAATTAAATATTATTTTTGTTTTCTTGTCATGAAATAATGTATCCCTCTTACTCTAAATTAGGTTTAGTACTAAGTAAACCTACTTTGGGCTATAATAAAAGTTGTTCTTCAGGTCAAACTAGATTTACTTAGTACTAAATAAAGTGAAACTAATTTTTAATGGTGCACCGATAGTAAAACTAGAGTTATAGATAAAGCTAATTTTCAATGGTGCACTATCGGTGCACCAGGTGAAACTGGTAAAATTAATTAGTTTCACCTGCAACTCTAGTACAAATCTAGTTCCAATGCAAGTTTATTTTTGTCAAATAAGAGAAATAACATATGTTGAATTTAAGAATCAACCCTTATTTTGATGTAACGTGCAGATCATCAATTAATTAATATGCAGGTGGGTATTATTTAATGGCTATATGTACAGTATACCATAGATATACAAAGTGACATGTTTTGTGATTTAGTGTTTTAGTGTTTTATTGTTTTAGTGTTTTAGTGTTTTAGCATTCTAGTGACCAGGAATGTGCATTTAGAAAGGTATTGCATTTATAGAGGTTGTATTTATAGAGGTTTGACTGTATATATAAATGCATAATTTGAAGTCTCATTTACTTTGGCTAATAAAGTAAAATTCGACTAATTAATTTTGATTATCAAATCTAAAGATTGAATATTATATACAGTATTTAAAAACTTTTTATTATTAATGATGAAGCAGCAAAAAAAAGTAATGTGATCTGTGAATTACAGTATATATAAATAAACTGTAGTTTATTTTAAAACAATAAACTATAGTTTATTTATATTTGTTGTGCCTCAGATCGATTCTTGTGTTGGATCTAATCTGACATGTGTCAGATGCTAATTTTCAGATGACGTATATCATCTGTTGATTGGTCATCTGATGTACATGAGTTGTAATATAAGACATGTAGCTTGTAAACCAATGCACTATTAAAATCACATATTTAATTAAAACTTTTATTATAATATTTTAAATAATTTAATTTTTTATTAATAAAAAAAAATACATTCAAAAATTGTAACAATAACGAATAATACTACTCATAATTTATTTAATTAAGAACATAATTGAAACACACTACTACATTTTAACTAAAAGCATAACAAACTACGAAACTGTAAACTATAAATTCTCACCAACATAAAAATCCATGAAATATAAACAATAATGACAAAAATAACAAACTTGCATTTTTGAATTCAACACAATAACACTAATAATTCCAATAATGGCGAAAACCATATCTGAAAAAAGAAACATCAGTAAATACAAAAAAAAGACAGAATAACGATACAAGAACTGAATTCAACAATGACAATAACTCCAATGATGAAAGCATGCCAGAAAAAAGGAAGTGTTAGTAAATACAAAAAGAAATAAACAAAAAAGCAACATAATGACATACTTAAACAATGATGGTTCCAAAAATGAAGATTCCAACAACGAAATCACTAGCACAAAAAAAAAAAATAAAAAAAAGCAATATAATAACACAAGTGATAAGCTTACCAACTTTAACAACAATGGCAACTTTAAAGCAACGAAATTATACTTAAAAAGAAGAAGCATTAGTAAATACAAAAGAAAATAGAATAAAAAACACAATATAACAATAAGCGATAAATTTAACAACTTTAATGACAATAACTCCAACAATAAAATAACACCTGAAAGAAGTGTCAGTAAATACAGAAAAAAAAAGAAAAATGGTAATAAATAACATACAAATGATAATCTTACAACTCTAACGAAGATTCAGAGTAAAATGAACAACATAAATTTAAGAATACCATTAACGATAACTCCAATGCCGAAATCTAACCTGGAAAAGTTAGTAATGTAAAAAAAAAAAGGGCAGTGCGAAAATTTAAAGGCTTACTTGAAGTCTAATTTCTCGATTTAAGAAGGCTCAAAGAAAAGTATTAGTACTGCCAAAGAAAAAAGAAAGCTCTAGATCTTTTTTAACCAGTGCTCGAACACACTTTTTTAGATTTTGATGATCTTGCGTCAGATTACAGCTAACACACATTAGATGACCAATTGTGTGTTATCTAAAAATCAGCATCTGACGCACGTCAGATTAGATCTGACGCAAGAATCAATCTGAGTCACAACATATTAACTAATAGTTTATGAATCACACTTTCAGTTAGTATACAGCTAATCAGATTGCATAAATCTTTCTAATCCCGATTCCTAATTTGAAAAATCCCTGAATAATAATATATATAAATTTAATATATAAATGATAGATAAGTTTAATTATAAATTTATTAATAGTACAATTTCAGATGTAAGAATTTCATTGAATATATATATCTATTGTTTAGAAAATTCTTCTAATATGAGAATAAACTTGCAATATCAAAGTTAAATATCTATATAAATATAAAGGCATATATGCATATTAGATTATCTATATTATTAAAAAAAAATTTTTAGAACCAAATATTTAAATTAATCAGAATCATATGAAGAAGTAGCAATCAAGATTATAAAAGATTCTAATAAGAATAAAGTTTTATTTTTAAATGAGATATTTTTTATTATTCTAAAATTTTTATTTTTATATTCTTGAGTATACAATATATAGTCGGCCCTCTCAGAACCAGTATGCATAGTGGACGGTTTAGTATCAGTTTTGAGAGGTAATCGGATTTGACAATATTATGCAAAAATATGGACGTGATCAACCAATCAAATTGCAAGATCAAACAATTTCTGGGGCCTAGTCAGAGCAAAAAATAGAATTACTTGTGACCTCAAAGACCTGAGAACCGTTTAATCACATTACATTATAGACAGAGGAATCCTAAAAACAATATTTTAATTACATGATCATTGTAAACAAACCAATCTATATCAATTTTATATAATTTGATTGGATATATGCACTGTTGAACCTCTCAAAACTGATTCTGTCAAAATTGATAACCTATCAAATCTGAAAAAAAATTAATCTACCAAGTCTGTTTCCATTATATAAACCTAAAAGTTTATAATGTTTTCAAATTCAATAACCTCTCAATATTGATACAAAACCCATCCACCATGCATATCGGTTTTGAGAGGTTCAACAGTATATACAAAATCAGAAATTTATATATAAAGGCTATCGAATATTGGAAATAGCAGGTTATTGATTATTACTTATAGAACAGATATGGTGGATTGATTTTTAACCAATTTTGGCAAGATATCGGTTTTGACAGAATCAGTTCTGAGAGGGCCAACTGTATACTGTTTTAGCATATCTTATAGTGATAATTAATATCACAGATAATGTCGTAAATCATAATAAAATCAGATTAAATGAAATGAGTTTCTATTTAACATTCTTTTTTTTTTTAATGATCATGTTACATGCCCATGCTTTATTGATTATTAATTTAATCTAAAAAAAAAAAAATACATCCAAAGATATAGGTATGTAACTTACCCAGTTACCTATATAGAATACCTAAATATTCATATATCTGTGTGTGTGACCTGCCAAAGATGATTTTAATCTCCCCGGTTTGATCAACCTACATCAAGCCAACCCGCTCCGGTTCACTAACCTGGTTTATTAGCCCATCATGACTATCTTTTTTCCCAACCTTCTTCTTCTAGCTTCCTAGATAGAAGAATTTTACCAAAGAACAACAGGAAATTTACAAAATAAAAGAAATACTAAAAAAAAGGGAGAAAATCTAAACTAAACAAAAACAAAAAAAAATAAACAAAAGAAAAAAAAGAGAAAAGGAGAAAAAGGCCGGAAAAAGGATAGCCATGATGGCACTATTTTTGCCTGTGCAAGGCTACATAAATTATATAATGTTGTATAGAATAAAATCTAACCTAACACTATATGTAATAATAGAAGTAAAAAAGAAAATAAAAGAAAACATCTAACTTTAAGAAATTTTTACATGTGATCCCTCTAATCCCTTATACTATAAATAGTATCGCCGTCATTATTTATTTGGCAAAGCATAATCCAAATAAGCTTGTGGAAGGTTCCATTTTGGTAAACACATTCTAATTTGGAAGGAGTAAACACTGCTGATTTTTTGGAGGAGATACGCCAGTTTTCTCACTTTTTGGCCAAAATTTTAAAAAAAAATTCCAAAATAGCGAAAATATGATAGAAGGTCTTCGGTTGCAGGTACTTTCAAAACTTCTAAAGAGTGTATTAAAATCCAAACTTTTGTTATTTCCCCTGTGTTCTTCTTTGAAGTAATGGCCTAGGGCTTCGTCAACGAAGTAGCAGCCTACTATGTAACTTACTCCCTTTACTAAGATTTTTCATACAAGGGTACTAGGGTAGCAGCCCCTGCTAGTTATCTTGTATAATAACACTCCTGGCTTGCATGCTGAACATCCTTTTAGAAGAGTCTTTTAGAAAAGCAGTTAACCTCTAAACAAACCGCACCGTAGAGCCACGCCTCTCCAACAAAAATTTTGTTTTTCGTTAGTTGAAATTTTGATACAAGTGATTATCAGGGAGAGTTGTCCAGTCTTTATTTAACATTCTAAAAACTCACTTAAAGTAAAAACAATATAAAATTATATTTGCTTTCTCTTTGAAGCTTTGATAAACTTATCAGCTTCTCTATTATTCTTGAAAAGTTAACATCATGAGTGATAACAATTAACTAAAGTTTGACTGCTCTTGATGAGATTCAAGTATTACTCGTAAGCCAGCCACCAAATTTTCAATATTCCCTTCATCAAGATTTGTGGTAGGTTTATCAAGAATGAAAACACCATAATTTATACAAAAAGTTTTTGCCAATGCCAATCTAATTATAATTGATGCAAATATTTTTTGACTAGTACTGCACCTTCTATGCATATCAATAGCTCTATCATATTTGACTATAATGACTTGTTAATAAAATAAATAAAATAACTTAGGTTAATCATACTGAAAGTATTATTTATTAAATAAAACCTTGATGCTTATACTATAATTGTAGCTCTGGTAGTTTTTTCTTCATATCTTATCTCAATGCAACTAATATCTTTAAGGTGCCAATTAGTAATATAAATATAAAACATGATAATAAATTTCAAGCCAAATAAAATTTTATCAAATGCTCTTTGTCTAGTTGAAATCTCATTGTGATAACTCCAAGACTATAAATATCTGATACTTGAGACCCATTAAAACCTCAGGTGCTACAAATGGCAGAATTCCACAACCTTTCTTCACTTCTCTAGAAAGTCCAAGATTAGTAATATATGCGCTATGCAAATAATCTTGCAAAATATTTATGCTGTATAAATCTCTTCTGTGAATCGACTTTCATTATTAAAATTTTTTTTAATATAATTAATTCCAAGCATGATTGACTGATTAAAAATACTTAGCTTGAGTAGCTTAAATGATCTCTATGCTTAATGATTAAGATCTATAGAAGTAAATAAAATTAACAAGACTGAATAATAAAAAACCAATTGAGCAACTGTGAACTTTTACTGTTTAGCTGTTGAAGTTCTTGGATTTTTGCATGTTGGCCTCTTAAACACATAAAATCTTGCAGTTTTTTGAGTCTCATTCACCTTTTTGACAAGAGTTAACTAGCGCTGATTAATTTTGATTATTGAAACTAGCAGTCTTTTACCATCTATTAAGGTATCATTTTGTGAGTTTTTAATAATGGGTCAGGTGTATAAAAAATTTCTGAAAGATGCTGACAAAGAAGTGTGCAAGAGCCAGTCAAATCAAAGAACCATGCACAGATTATTCTAGATCCTGATTTTCTAATTTGGTAAATCCCCTGACTGCATTAGGCCTTTCAGTTCTAATGGTAGTAAAATTATTAAAATCAGACCAATATTTATTTTTTAAAAAGTACATACAAATCTTAGGAACTACTGGTCCGATTTTAATAACTTTTACTATATTATAACCAGAAAGGCTTCATGAACAACTTTTATAAGATCAAAATAAGGATTTACTTAGTAAAAATACCACTTCTGGAGCATTTTCTGATTTTTGGGGATGAGATTAGCAAATGTGGTAGTGCAAATAGCAATTCTCTTTATTTATACTCTATTTTTTTAAATTTTTTATAGTATTTCAGAAAATATCATCCATTTATTCAAATTTTTGTCCCAACTCTTCTTATCTTTTATATTTATTCATTCTTTTATGTTTATCTATTTTCTTTTTGGATGATTTTAAAACTTCATTTGATTCCTAATTTTTATTTGCATATGGCATCATGTTATTATAATACTTATATAGAGACATATTTTTTGAGTATTATGCTCTTACAATTTTTTTCATAGAGAACATTTACATAATGTCAAATGTTCCCAATCTAAAGGTATGTTCTCATGAGAACATGTAAACATAAGATCTCCAACACCAATCCTGATAATATGATGGATAGATACAGTATCCGAATAAATTCAGATCCAGATATCTAATAATTATCCGGATAAATTCTAACTGGATTGGAACCCTATTTTTGAGATATAGCATTGTGGTGATAATTACCTGTGGTTAGATTTAGCAATTCTCTAATAATTATCCGGATAAATGCTAACTGGATTGGAACCCTATTTTTGAGATATAGCATTGTGGTGATAATTACCTGTGGTTAGATTTAGCAATTCTCAAATAATAAAACCAAACTATTTACAGTTAGACCTCTCTATAATCACACACTTGGGATACAAAAATGCATGATTGTAGAGAAGTGTGACAGTTATTGAGGTCAAATATATTATATTTAATAGTAGTTTGTTTTTAAAAAAAATATGTATATAAAGCAAATATGCTTATATGGGAGGTGACTATAGAGAGGTCAGACTATATTTTATAAATTCATTTTGAAATTTAAGAAATAAATATTTTATTTTATATATTTGATTTTCTTTGATCACAGTAAAACATTTCTCTCTATATACAGAAAATTTAATAAAAAGAAATAACAATAACAATAATTTAATAATTAAAATGTTCTATTTAAGACAACAATGGTAACTATATAATAAAAACTTCTACAATCAAGGATTTAAAATAAATATCAATCTTCAAGACATATCTCTAACAAGTAATTCAAGAAAAGCAATATCTAAAATTCAAAAATTTAATTCGTGAATGTATAATGTTATTCTTGTGAGTTTTATGATTTTTTTTCAAAAAAAAAAGAAATTATACTAACAGTTGAACGGTCTGAAAATTTCCATGCACCAAAAGTCATCAAACTGAAAGGCACAATATATCTACAATAATTAAAGTTAAAATTTAGCACAGTAAACATATACAGTATTATGAGACAATAATCATCAATGATATAATTTATATTAACTTCCTCCTTCACACTGATAAGATAATTAGATTGAAAAAAATTATAAACGATCAATAAATACATAATAACTAATGCGAAATACCAAATTTGAAGGCAATTCACTTACATTCTATTTGTGAAATGAGAAAATTATAAATTCATTTAGAAGGTGTTTAGAGAAGTTATATTCAAAATAAGAACTAGCATAAATAATCATAAATAATGCTAACTCACCATCTATTATTTAAAAAGATTAAGTATATTACAGAAGAAAGATTAATTTAGAAAGGTGTTTAGAGAAGTGATATTCAAAATAATCAACTAGCATAAATAAATCATAATAATAATAATTTACCATCTATAAAATTAAAATTATTAAGTATATTACATATAAAATGTTAATCTAGAAAAAAAACAAAAGAAATAGCGCTTACCGACTATTATTGATATGAAAAAATGTAAATGTTTTTAATTTATAAATGATTTAGTTTAATTAGTTTAAACAATAATTCATAAATAAATGATAACTTACCGCCTAGTGGTATATAAATAAAGCCAAATAAATAAACAATTATAACGTAACAAACTTTATTTAAAAGTTACAAAAAAAATATATACTTACAAGCTATTAATGTGATTAATTCGATTAAAAATTTTCGGATTAGGTCATAAAATAGTTTGCAAAATAGTAGACTAACAATTCTTAAACATTATACTCACAAGCTAGTAGTTTAATACAAATGTTAAGGACAATTTATAATATTATTTAAGTAAGTAAAACATTAATTTTTTAAGACTATACTTACGCGCTAATAATTTAATATAATATTTAAGAACATTCATTTATATATTTTAAGAAAGTTGATTACCAAATTGATTAACAAATTTTTTTTAACAATAATACTTACGTACTAGTAATGCGTATTTTAAAAAGAATTCAAGATCAATTAATAATATTGTTTTAAGAAAAGTTAACCAACAATTTTTAAACACAGTACTTACCAGCTAATAATTTAATACAAATAATTTAGGAAAAAATATTTATTTTATTAAGTATATATTATAAAAGATAAATTCAACGAAGAGTAAACTTTATACACACGAGCTGAAAATTTATTCAAAATAAAATTTATAAAGATAAATTGTTGTGTAATAGACCTTAAAGAATTATATATATAATAAACTTACTAGCACTGCAGGCTAATTAATAGCATTGATTTATACAGATGTAATTATAATTTGAGTAAATCATATACTAAAGGATTAGGATTTGTCATATACATAGATACTCACGATCTAGTAATCAGAGGAACGTAATTAGTGTAATCATATACTACATTATTTAGAGCTTTATCATACACGTATTTACTCACCGGCTAGTAACATAATTGATTGGAAACAGCATTTAGGATTGAATTATTGGAATTAAAGTTTTATTATACACGTATTTACTCACCGGCTAGTAACGTAATTGATAGTAAGAATTGAATTTAATAATCAAGTTTTAAAAAAAAATTGCAATAAAGTCTATACTCACTATTGAGTTGACATGTAGTTATTGTAGCAGTTGATATGAAAATTAAAGCGATAACTAACAAGAAATAATATTTCGAAACCATTATTGATTTTAATTAAAGTTGTAAAAATGACAAAGTGTTAATAAATTGAAAAGGCAGAATTATGCTCTTCTTATACAGTCAGACCTCCCTAAATGCACGTCGTCAGGACCAGCTCTAGAGCATGCATTTAGGGAGGGTTGTAATTAGAGAACACTATTAAAATCACAATGCCCTATTATTATGTGATAAATATGGCTTTAGTAGCCTAGAAATAATGGATTTGATTGGCTGATAATCACGTGAATGCACTTATGGGGAGTTTTTATAACGGGCCAGACAATTAGCATGCACTTACAGAATAAAGAACGTGCATTTATCTATAAGTCCCACCATGGGCCCGTGCTTATATTATGCATTTAGAGGGGTGCTGCATTTAGAGAGGGTGCATTTAGGGGGTCTGACTGTATTATTATAATTGTATGCCTGAGCTTCCAAACTTGGACTTTTCTGGATTACATTTATGCATTTATGTACATGCGTACGTACGTACGATCTAACTTAGGAATAAATAAAGAAACCTAAAAATAAATTAGGCCAAATAAGATGAAATTAAATAGATGGACTTTTTTTTCAAAGAGCAAAATTTTGATTTTAATCTATTGGATTATTATTATAACTTATAAAAAAGGGAACGGGTTTCCTAAATAACAAACCTTTCCTGTGTGTACTCATTTGTGCGAGTGATACAAATCCAAAAAGAGAAATTAGCCAATCGGAGAACGTAAAATGTGATGTTCCCTGATCAGCAAAGCGAAGAAAACCACAAAAAAACCCCCAAAAGAGAAAATAATCAAAAACTAGTGTTTAAATCGACCTTGCTTGACTAATAAAAAATAACAGGAATGAAATTTTACATATGAAAGACTCAATTATCACAAAAGCTCACAACCCTAACGCTAACCCTAACGTCCTAATCCTAAACTTTCTTAGTTTATTTACAAATGCGATTTCCTTTTTGGGGTTGTATCACCCGCAAAAATAAGTATTTCGGTCTGACAACAGCACTATAAAAGGCAAGTCCGACCCAGCCTGCTCTATAACTTTTTGTTTTTCTTTCATTAACATATGGGCGGAAATTTTTAGTAGAGTACTGTGACTATAAAATTAGATGATTATACTCATAAAAACTGATAAGTAATGGATCAATTTTGGATCATTCTGGGTTATTTTTAGCTAATCTGTTCGGTATACTGCTCATAAAAACTGATAAGTAACTGATAAGTAATACATAAGCAGTTTTACAATCACTGACAAATAATCACTTTTAATATTAGTAATCACACTGTATTATATATATTATTAGCTCAAATCCTATTTAATCTCATAATTCAACTTAAATAATCACAAAACTAATCACAAAATAATCACAAAACTAATCACAAAACTAATCACAAAATTGAAGATTTCCGCCCATATGATTAACCACAGAATTACATGCAATCGTCTGATGCTAAAATTCATTTGTATAATTATACATCTACTGTACAACACTTTAAAGCAATTTAATAAAGTTTTAATATCCAGTACTATTTTTGGCCGGAGCGTTCCCAACGAACTTCTAAGATCACTATCTTTCAACCAAATATTGTAAACTATTCTTAAATTTACAAACGATACGTGTTAATTATACCATTCGACTACTATGCGCACGTATAAGAATGGAGTTTTGAAAGTAAATTTTAAAGAAAGTGACACATTAAATTTATAATTAAAATACGTATACAGGGTGATTTTCTATTTATTTAATTATAGATTCAATGGAATTATAAAAGCGATTCTTTTAGGAAATTTTTTAAAGCAAATATTTTCTTGGCCTGACCAAATCACAAAACCATTAAAAAATCATCAAATCATCCCGTATGTTTCACTCAAAGACATTTATTTTTATAAAAAAAGAACATCGGATAAAAATGATATATGAAACTGTATATTAGGTGATATATATCCGAATAAACAGCAATTGAATATTTAAACCAAAATTTAAATGCAATATAATATTAAATACATTAGTATTGTGTGAATGAAGAAACGCGCGTTACAGTATTATTATCATTTGCTAACTGTGTATTATATAACATTCTTCGCCTCATATTAGAGTGTCCAGAGTACTGCGGTACATAATTTTGCTCATTCTAAAAATAATTTTTTATATTGTTCTCATAAGAGACACGTGATTAAATCACTTCCTAAATCAAATTACAATGTAAAAAGTCATTTTTAGCGTGAGCAGTATTATGCACCGCAGTATCTTGGACACTCTATCTCATATATTATATTTCAAGTTTTTTATATTCAATTTAGTCCTAGTTGTCTTTAATTAAAGGATATTCATGATATTTTGAGCTGAAAACTGAAGCTTTTTAAATAATATATATTTGTTTTATTATTTCATAATTAATTATGACGTAAATTCCATTTATTTCATTGCCATTTAATTCTTTATTCTCAAATCCCTATGAAAACTCGATACACGAAATTTTATGCGGATAAGCACGGGTTTCAGTATCACTGCACGGAAACTGCGCGGAAACCGATCATCCAAAAAATTTAATACACGTTATCACACGAAAAATTGAAATTCGTGCACTATCGTGCACAGTGTCATATCCATATATTGACGTGTATTAATCTTAATGACCACATAATTTCCGTGCACTAATGTGCACAATCGTTAAGATTCTTAATGATTGTGCACGTTAGTGCACGGAAGTCAAGAATCTTAATAATTGTGCATGTCAGTGCACGAAAATAATGATCGTTAAGAATCTTAACGATTGTGATAATCATGTCATCAGTGCACTGAAATTACGATCATTAATATTATTAATGATCATAATTTCAGTGCAACGTGATGATCGTGATGTCATTGCACTGAAATTATGATCATTAATATTATTAATGATCATAATTTCTGTACAATGTGATGATCATTGACGATCATAATTTCTGTACATTGACGTGCACAAAAACATTCGTTCTGAGTAAATAAACATTTATTTTTGTTTTTTTTGTTTCACTTCTTTATTTTTTTATTTTTTTTTTACAACTCACAAATTTATATTGTTTTTGAAGTTATCCTTTAGAGTCAGTCGCTTGGAAATTGCTCTTTTGAAATCACTATTATTTTTGGTCTATATTTTTTATAGCTTTGTTTTTTCTTTTATTTTTTTTTAGTTTTTTTTTATTTGCTTTCTGTACATTACTGCATTTTGCTTCTATTTTTTAGTATCTTCTTTGAATTACTGGAGTTAGCACTATTGGAGTTATTGCTAAGTAGTTGTTTTGATTTTTTTTTTTGAAACTTTCATTTTGGTACTATCATTTTACTTTTTTTTTTTTTTACTATTTTTCCCTTTAGGCATAGTCAACATAAATTTTAGGTTTGATTTTATTATCCTTCATTTTGGTACTATTGTTTTACTTTTTTTTTGATGTTATTAATAGTCTTAGTAATTAGAATATTTTCTTTATTCAGAATGTAAATTATTAAATTAAAATATGTATTTGTATTATAAAATTTTAGTTAATAAAATAATAAAATTTACTTAATAAAATTTAGTTAATAAAATTTATAAATTAGTTAATAAATAATAAATTTAAATATATATACGGATATATGTTATTATGTATATATATATGGATATATGTTATTATGTGTTACCTGCACGTAAATATACACGAGACAATGCACGGGAAAACACATAAAATTGCACGTTAGTACGTGCACTGTTGCATGGAATTCATGCCTAATTACGTGCTGTAAATGTGCTTTCCCATACATTGTCTCATATATATTTACGTGTAGGTTCGTGTGGTCCCATATCCAAACTTTTTCGTGTATTGCAGTATCATTCCATGCTGCAATTTCTTATAGGGCAATTTCTTATAGGGCAATTAGAGTTGTTATCTACTTAGATGTCCCAGTTCAGATTCTAAAAGCTATGGCTCTAGCTTGAGCTATCTATTGGAGCACAGTATTGTGATGTGGTTTCAAAATCATGTGATTTCTAATATTTTAAAGATAATATGCGTCATTAATTTGATTCAGTTTAATCTCCATTAATTTTAAACTATAACTTATTAACTCGGTTCTATTCTGCAACTAAGCGCGAGCCAAAGCCCAATGTATATTATTATATTCATACTCACGAGGTTAGGTAAAATCCGGTCACCCATATAAAGTAGTCATGACACAGTTGAAAGCCTAACCCGGATTATCTGGATGATTCCTTATACAGCTAGCTATCTATTCTTGTATGTTATAACAGTCTTAAGTGGTTTGTGGATGTGATTACTTTTTTTTTATTAAGAAAAAAGCCAACGAATATTTATTTATCATTTAGGCCGTAATTGGGTCAAATTGGCAATAGTGGTGTGGATTGCCTACGGGGTGGCCACACAGGTGGTCATAATTTATACTTTCAAAAAATCTAATTCTGATCAAATTTACAGATTATTTGGCCTATTGAGATAAGTTTTAAACTCATCTCCAATAGACCAAATGATCTGCAAACTTGCACCTACCGCTCACTACATTAACATGAATAAGAAATAAATTAAATAAAAGGAAATAATGTATCTTTTAAGATACATTATTTACCTTTTATTAAAGAGCATTAGTTTATTTTTAAACGATGTGTTTGATATACGTATTTTATCAAACTAATGCAAATAAATTAATTTATTCAAAAAGTATTGTACACATGTGGTATGTATTACCATTTGGATACATCAAGCAATCGACGTATAAACCGAGACGGAATATGCTCCCAGAAATACGTAGTGATATAATTGCGCCGGGTATCGCATCATCAGTTTAAATTACGGTCCCACACTGTACAAAGCAGGCTTAGATAGAATATTAACACAAAATGGCAGGATTTTACGTAGATCCTGCAACGATTCTCTATGGCATGCTATTTTATTAATTCCATAATGCTTCTAAATTAAGGGATCCGTTATAGCCAGGTCCATCACTGTATGCGACCAATCAAAGTCGCGGATTTTTTGGTTACACAGATCAGTCCGACGAAGAAAAAAAAGTAAAAAATGCGAAAATACAAGAAACGAATGTCTAAACCTATCTTGATTCGTTAAGAAAAAATGTCGGGGAAACAATTTTACATATAAGAATCTTCTAACCTTAGCCCATAAGGACCCTAACCTGACTCTAATCTTAACTTAATTAAATTTCGTGATGGCACCTGGCTTTAACGGTTCTATAATTAAACAATACTTGTTAGGCCATCTCGTGTCCGATTTGGTTTAATGGCTGTGAACTTGGACCTAACCGGATTGTTTTCAGCATATCCTTGCTTAGCTATTTTATCTATCTATTGACTTTCATCAACTTAAATTAAATACTATGCATTAGTTAAGCAATGATATTATGATAATCATTTTTTCATGTGAAAAAATATGATACAACTTACATTCTTAATTTATTTCGAATTATCCAATTTATTTTTAACGTTAAAAATTTGAGTCTCATGACTATAGGAGAAAATCTTATTATCCTTCAAAGCGTATAAAGATCCCTCGTTTGCAGATGGCTATTAGATAATTAAAACAAATCAATTATATATATATATAGATCTTTTAGATTAGTTAATCGATTTTTCACTTAATAAAATACACTTTCAAAAATGGCCGATGACATGCTAGTCTCAAATCTATTCTCTGTAAAGGACAAGATAGCATTAATTACTGGTGGTGGCACAGGAATTGGTAAAATTATTGCAAAAGCATTCGTGAAGAATGGTGCTTTAGTTTACATTGCTTCAAGAAATAAACCAAAACTTGACTAAGGTTTATTATTTAATATAAAAACTTTTTATGATTTAAAGTAAAATATGGTTTATCAAAGAATTAAATCAGCTTTCTTTATTCATAATATTATAATTTAAAAGTTGCAAAAGAATTAACAGAAATGGGTCCAGGAAAATGCTTCAGTATTGAAGCAGATCTAAATTCAAAAGCTGCTTGCGAAAAGCTAGCAGCTGATTTTAAAAATTTAGGAAATGATAAACTCGATATTTTGGCGAATAATTCTGGTATAGGGTTTCGATCTGCCCTGACTGAATATTCTGAAGAAGATTGGGATACGACCTATACTCTAAATGTTTAATGTGTTTTTTATTTAACGATTGCGTAAGTAATTATATGAATTACGTTTAGTACAGCTTTGTGGCAGTACAATCGAACTAAGTTCTATATATTCATTTAGTTGTTTGCCATTGCTCGAAAAAGCCAGTAAAAAACCAGTTGATCCTTCAAAGGTTATCATAATTGGGAGCATTCTCGGTACTGCAACCAATTTTATATTGCTATTTTTATAAGGCTTTTATATGATAACTCTGTAATTTCCTGTTTTCATAGTATTAACCACCTTTGCATAATTAGGTATTGGTGAGGGAGAACTCAAGCTAGCGCAAGCTCTTTGAATTTCCTATATACCTTATAGTACATCCAAGTCTGCCACACATAGCGTTTCAAAGAATTTAGCTGTTCATCTTACGTAAGAAATTACTTTCTTAAAACTTTGTTAAAAATCTAATTATTTTTCTTACCATGTTTTTTTAAACAGTCCACGAGGGATAAACGTTAATGCACTTATTCCTGGAATAGTCCCCGTAACCGATAGAACATATGATAAAAATATAGCCCTTAGTGAAGTTCCTCAAGGTAATTAGAAAAATATTTATTGCAATTTCACCACGTAGAATTTGTATAACATTTATTTTAATTTAGGTCGTCTTGGAGATGAATTAGATATGGCAGGAGCAGCATTATACTTAGCTTCGCGTGCCGGTAGTTGGGTAACTGATGTTGAAATTGTAGTTGATGGCGGATGTCTTTTGCGCTATAAATTATCAGACTAATTTACTTTAATCGATTTTTTTAATTAAACATACTGTATTTATTATTTATTAACTTTTCAAAATATTTTATATTTCTGTAACGATAATACAAATTTTAAAAATAGTTGTCCGAAGCGTACATGTACATGTAAAAATTGAAAGTGTACGTCTGTTCACATGCGACTCTATTGTAATCGACTACTTTGCTTCTAGACTAGACCGTTTTATAAAAATGACTGTCTGACTTTACTGTGATTGGCTATTACAGTCTACATTACACCTTTTAATTGAAAAATGTCTGTCTGTCCGCCACGTTATATTATCCTTATTGGCCGATAATTAAATCAGATCTTTTTATATGGGTCTTTGCCTTGAAAATGACCTTACGGTATCATTATAGTTGTTAGACGAAACCTTTTATGCTTGATGACGAAAGACGAAACCTAAGCCTCAAAATTTTCAAAATGACGAAACCCTTGACGAAAGACGAAACCTCAAATCCCATTGACGAAAGACGAAACCCAAATTCAAAATGACGAAACCCAAGCCAATAAAAAAACAGAATTGCTCTCACTAAAAAAAAAAAAAAGAATTGCTCCCGCTAAAAGAACCCGGATTTATGATAATAATGGATCACTAGTACTATCGTTAAAAAAATTATTATTAAAAGCTTGTTTTCAACAAAACTAAATTATCAATAAATTTAGCTTAATAATTTTAGATATTTAACCTGTTGATAAATCATTAATAGGACTTTTAAGGCTTTTTATTTATATTTAATGCTGGAGATGTTTATTGACTTGTATGTATATTAGGCTTTTTATTTTTATTTAATGCTGAAGATGTTTATTGGCTTGACCCGGCTTTGCATATTTAGTTTTTAAAAAGCCATTACAAAAATTAGAAATAGGCAAACAAGCCATTAACTTTTCTCAAATATTTAAGTAAATAAATATAAATATAAATGTATTGTAATGAATTTAGTAGATTCAAAAAATTTTCTCTAGAAAATTTTAAGACACGGCAATAAAGTTTAACCTCATAATTCAAAATTAATAACTTTAAATTTTGGTACGTAAGTAATTAATATTATTGTATAGGAAATTGAAACATAAGAATT